TGGGGGAAGGGGAACAGACAAGTTGCTGTCGTTTTGTTCTTCAGTCTAGTTGTGGAGGACATTGCTTCACTGGCCCAAGTTGGCACCATCACTGCTCTCTTCCTGGGGGAGGCAGATCAGTTGCCAGCTTCTGGACCACCACTCATGCTGACTACACACGGTAGCCCATGGCAACCCACTGCAGCAGGGGCTGCAGCCCACGCTGTTGCCTGCGACTCATGGCAGCCCAGCTCCAGGTTGAGCTGTTGTTCAGCATCTTAGCTGTAGAGGGCAGTGTCACTGGCCCTTATATGTGCTATCCGAACTGGGGCCCTCTGGCTTCCCAAGCCAGCTCTTAACCAACGCACCACTCGGCTGGCCCTTGAATATTCTTTATAAAGCCATGGAAAACTAAAACATAAAGGTCTGCCAAAAATCTATAATTTACTAGCTGTAAATATTCTGTTTTTCATTTATTTGGAAATAAAATAAATCTTACTACTAACAGCTGCTAACATATAGAGCATTGACTATGTGTCAAGCAAAGTTCTAAATGTTCATATGTATGGTTTTATTTAATCCTCACAGTAACCTCATGGGGCAAATAATATTATTATCTCAGATTGTACAGATGAGGAGGATGAAGGACAAAGACATTTAAGTGACTTGCCTCAATGGTGTAGGTAGAAACCCAGGTAGCTAGACTTAATTAAGCCCATGATCCTAACACTGTTTTTTACTGCCTCTCTTAACTCATGACTCAGCAGCTTGGAAATATGCATATTCAAATGATATTTATTACACTTATAAAGTGTGAATTCATTTATGAAATTCTATAAAGAAAAAAATAGGAGCTATTTGTTAATAACAGAGAATAGTTGGCTACTCCTATGTAGTAGTTTGATGAGTATCTGGAAAGTTCTTACACAAAAGAAAACCCTCTTCACTTTTTTGTTGATACCAGAAATTCCACCATTACATTTCTATTGTATTGGCTTATGCTTGTGTCCTCTGTTAAAGTACTTCAGGGAGAAGGCAACGTCTCATCCCATCAGTCTTCGCGGCCTTATTAGGAATGAACTTGTCAGATTTTTATGATGGAGAAGAGAGAAGAGAGGAGGAGGACACATGGCAACTGCTGGGGAAATGCCACCCATGGGTACAGGAAGGACTATCGCGGGGGTGCTGACAGCACGCTTAGAGAAGGTTTACAGTTGTGGCTGTATACTAAATGTGCATGACTCCAATTTGATGTGATTTATCTCCTATTGTGACAGCACACACTTCTAGCCACCAGAGTAAGAATACTGGCTAAGATTTGTCCCCAGAAGGGAAGATCATACTGTTTAACAATTTAAAGGTCATCTAACAGAATCCTTCTGAGGTTCATGCTGCTCTTTTAAACTAGCTAAAGGGTGTCTTTGGAGGTCCAAATATCCATGAACCTTCTTTACCCTCATATGCCCAAGGACGTCCTGCTTGGAGAACTAGCCTCTGAGATACACACACTGGACTTAGACATGGTCTTGTAAAATCCATATAACAGTATACAGAACTTGTGGTTTTGATGAGCAGATAATTGCTATAGCAGGTCAGAAAAGGGAGAACTCAGTGTAGAGTTGAATAATCAAGGAAGATTTCATGGAAGAATAAAGAAGTCAGCAAGGAAGAGTTTGATTTCTTCTTCTAGAAGGTGGAGTTAATTCTTCTGGGACAGAGGAAGTCCAGCAGTCTTCCTGATTCTCTGCCACAGGTGCCCAGAAGTGAGCTGCTCCAAATGCTTTGCTCCCAAGTGTAGGCAAGTCTGTGCATGAATAACTGGGACCAAGGATGCTAATAAGCTTTTATAGAAGATATGCTGGGAGCATACTCACCAGCTACTCTGAAGGCTCCCAACCAACTTTCCTGGTTCCAAGTCTCAGACATTTAGTTATTATATTTCCAGTGTTTTGAAGTAATAATAGTATTGCAGTGAATTGTATTCATTTTTTTAACTCGGGCTAGCTGCTTTTCTGACAACTTTCTCATTTCTACATACCCCAATCCTCAACTTTCAGGGCGGAATTAAGTAAGTATTCTTAGCTGCTGTATGCCTTTTGCTCTCTGCCCTTCCCACTTCTGTATGACCTTATGCCTGAAGGTGGAATGGCCAACTGTGAACTTGGGAGAATAAATATACATGTTAAGGATGACAGTGAAAGGAGCTAAGACTTTTCATTCTATGAAATTACCTATGGACTTTTCTATACCTATGAAATTATCTATGGACTTTTCATTCTATGAAATTACCTGCTGGGCCTACCTCTGAACTTTTTATTATGTGAATAAAACAGACTTCTATGTAGTTAAGCCACAGTAATTGAGTTCCTATTACTTCTTGCAGTCAAATTGCAAGCCTAATTGATTCTAGGTATAGCCCAGCTATGTTGTAATACTGGAGAATTGAGATATTTACCATTACATTTGATTTCCAAATTGCATATATCAGCAGGTTTTGTAAGCTTATTTATTTTAGCTCTTTGTTTTGGTTTTTATAGAGTACCATTTCATACTTAGAAAACAATAATGTGTTTATTGTGACCAAACAAACAATTAAAAAGTGTGTATAGTAAGAAATTAAACATCTGTACTTCCCACCTCTACTTCAAATGTTACTTCCTGGAGTCACTGTTAATAGTTTGGTGTCTGACATTTTCAACACATGAACAAACATCAGTAACTTTCATAAAAGTTAAGGAATTAGACATTATTCTGTTGCCATAAACATCCCAATTATTTGACATCAGTGAACCTCGATTTCTTTAAGGCTTTGATAATTTTTTCTGAACTATTTCAAACTTTCATGAGGTTTGCGGCTTGAATTTCTAGGACAGTCTCTATGATGAAAGGCCATAGGAAAATCAAACAACTATCTCTAGGGGAAAATAAACCCTGAAAAATAGCCGGAGTTCTTCATGCTTACCTTTTATCTCTTTCCTTTTGGGATTGTATGCAAGCCTGAAATGTTCATTTGGGTTGGGAGTAACTGGCCTGACCCACTCCTATTTTCAAACACTGCCAACCACTGCAGGACTGTGGCCGGGCTAATTATAAGTCACAAGGTCAAAGAGGAAGTTAGTCTATCACTGAAACTGTACGAAGACAACAGATTTTTCTTGAAATCAATGATGAAAGAGGATATTAATACATTTTAATTTTGGTAGTTTTATATAGTATGAGTGCTACTTTATGAACTTAATAGCTAGAAGTGTCCTAACATAAATAACATTTATTTATTAAAATCTGAGCCTTTTGTTACAATCTCTTCTTTGGTTAAGGGCCATTCCTTTTATATTTGTGTTCAGCTAGATCAACCTATAATGGCAAGCCTCATCATCAGAAAAGCATCCAATTAGTGTTATAGTAGCCCACTCTTAAATATAAGCAGATAGCTAAGGACCACCAGATACTTGATGAAAGTTTCTAATAAGAAAGAGGCAAAAACAAACACAAAAATAAAAACCAAAAAAACAGGAAAATGTAATTTGCAGAAAATAAAGTCAATGCAGAGAGAAGAAAAAAAACCACCTATCATTAATATCCTCAGTAAAATAAGAAAAGATATGCAGTAAGAATAAGGATACTATGAAAAAGAAACATTCAGAGAAGAAAGAGCTTATAGAAATTTAAAATATGATAGCAGAATGAATGATTAAATAGGATTGGAATGAAAAGTTGAGGAAATCTCCCTTGCAGCAAGTCCAAAAGAAAAAAAAAAAAGTAAGAGAAAAAAGAAAGAAAATTTAAAGACTGTTTTCAAAAGTCG